AGGCATGCGACAACCACCGTGGTATCTCCCTGCTCTCCATCGCAGGCAAAACCCTGGCTAGAGTTCTACTCAATCGGCTCAAGGAACATCTAGAGCAAGGACTCCTACCTGAAAGCCAGTGCGGCTTCCGGAAAGATGGCGGGACTATCGACATGGTGTTTGCTGCTAGACAGCTACAGGAGAAATGTCAGGAACAGAATGCCGACTTGTACTCCACCTACGTCGATTTGACCAAGGCCTTCGACACCGTTAGTAGAGAGGGCCTTTGGAGAATCATGGTGAAGTATGGCTGCCCAAAGACGTTTACCGCCATCGTACGCCAACTTCACGATGGAATGCTGGCCAGAGTCCAAGACAACGGAGAGACGTCTAAACCATTCACAGTCTCAAATGGAGTGAAACAAGGCTGCGTGCTTGCTCCCACCCTATTCAGCCTGATGTTCTTGGCCATGCTTACAGACGCATTCAGGGACACAGACACAGGAATCGGCATCAGGTACCGTACAGATGGGTCTGTCTTCAACCTACGGAGGCTTCAAGCAAAAACCAAGGCTGCAACTGACACCATCAATGACCTGCTATTTGCTGATGACTGAGCCCTCAACGCTGCTTCAGAAGCCGCCATGCAGCACAGTGCTGACAAGTTCTCCGACGCCTGCAACAACTTTGGGCTGACAATCAGTACAACAAAGTCTGAAGTGATGCACCAGCCTGCTCCGGGAAAGGCGTATGTTGAGCCAAACATCACCATCAATAGGCAGCGACTGAACGCCGTAGACAAATTCACCTACCTTAGCAGTACCCTTTCCAGAAACATTGTCATCGATGATGAGGTGAATGCCAGACTTGCCAAAGCCAGTGCCACCTTCAGCAGGCCCCACAAGAATGTATGGAACCGAAGAGGCATCACCACAAGCACCAAGATCAAGGTGTACAGAGCCATAGTCCTCACCACACTTCTCTATGGCTGCGAAACCTGGACTGTCTACAAACATCACGCCAGAAAGTTGAACCACTTTCACACCACACGGCTCAGAAAAATTCTTGGCATCAAATGGCAAGATAAGATCCCAGACACAGAAGTGCTGACTACAGCTGGCCTGCCTAGCATCTACACCATCCTAATGCAGACACAGCTTCGCTGGGCAGGTCACGTTGCTCGCATGCCAGACCACCGGCTGCCAAAGAAACTCTTGTTTGGCGAACTGCAGCATGGAAAGCGCTCTCAAGGAGGCCAAAAGAAGCGCTATAAGGACACCCTTAAGACTGCTCTGAAAGCTTTCAACATCAACCACACCATGTGGGAGCTGATAGCTCAGGACAGGAATGAGTGGTGAGCATTTGTCCAGAAAGGGGCAGCATCCTGTGAGGCAAGCAGAATCTCACTAGCTGAGCAGCGCAGGCAGGTGAGGAAGACCAGAGCCATCAGACTCCTCGATGCCGCCACCCTTCCCTGTCCACACTGCCAGAGAACGTTTCGTGCACGGATTGGCCTGACAAGTCATCTGCGTACCCACCAACTTCAACCCCAGGATGACTAGATGGTCCTCGTCGAATCGACGGACAAACAACACACAGTTTGGAAATTAGGAGGAGGTGTGGGATTACCAAAACTATTATCCAGAGGGCTGAGGAGGGGTTGTTGAAGTGGTTCGGACATGTAGAGAGGCTGGAACACAACAGAATGACTACAAGAGTGTATAAATCTGTAGTGGAGGGAAAGTGGGGTAAGGGTCGGCCTAGAAATGGTTGGAGGGAGGGGGTAAAGGAAGTTTTGTGTGTGAAGGGCTTGGACTTCCAGCAAGCATGCGTGAGCATGTTAGATAGGAGCAAATGGAGACAAATGGTTTTTAGGACTTGGCATGCTGTTGGAGTGTGAGCAAGGTAACATTTATGAAGGGATTCAGGGAAACCGGCAGGCTGGACTTGAGTCCTGGAGATGGGAAGTACAGTGTCTGCTCTCTGAAGGAGGGGTGTTAATGTTGCAGTTTTATAATTATAGTGTAAGCATGCCTCTAGCAAGACAGTGACGGAGTGAATGATGGTGAAAGTTTTTCTTTCTTGGGCCACCCTACCTTGGTGGGAGAAGGCTGTGTTAATAAAATAAAAATAAATAAAGAATTTTATTCACACCAAAAAAAATATAGAAGATTTACTGTTATGCAATATTGTAATAATTGTATAAATAATATTGCACATTCATGAACGTATATTAGACCCACCAGTTGACGTGTATTGGACACGTGACATCATTTGTTTACTCCTGAACATTGGCAAAAATCGAGCATTTCCTCTACTTTGAGCTCAATTTCAAGCTATTTTCAGCACTAAAACCAATCAAAATCATCTCTACTTCTATAATATATCTTCCATTCTATTAATTGAGACCAAGAAACCATGAATACAACTGTAAAGCCCATATGAAAATACACCACAAAGTCAGTGTTTTAATCCAAAAACACGGTAGGAGTTTCTTTCTCATTATGCACTTCGCGCTGTAGGATTTGTTTTATATGGTGCACACTTACCACACAGATCCATTCTCTCATATCAAGGCCCAAATTTACTGCTCACAGCTTATCTGAGTGAGCTGAGCTAGTGACGTAGAACTACGGTTTGGACCCTGTGGACAAGGTGTAGATCTATGGCTTGGACCCTCAAAGGGTTAATGAACAGAGGAAATGTTTTAGTGCTTGGAACATCCAATGTTTATTGTAAATCTTTTCAAATTTTAATTTTGCTTCAAATTGGCCAAATTACCAACTTCTGTGCATTTTATAGGGTAGTTTTGAAAGCTGAATGGCTAGTTTCTGTGCTCAATTGACAGAACTAGTGAAATAGGTAAGAATTTGGTCAAAATGTATTAAAATAGGACTCAATGTGTAAACTGCAGTCAGAACATTAAGTTTGTGCCTGTAAAAAGTCGTAAGTTTTCCAACAAATTTTTTATTTTTCTTGCCATAACCTTCAGGAAAATATTCTTTGAAACCCTTTCAGGGTCAGAACCTGATCTGAGAATTGCTCTTAGTGTTGAAGAATTTAAATAAAAAATTATTTTTTCTCATGAAATTATAATCTTTTTCCAAAGGTAATGAAACCAAAAGTATGAAATAGTGATCAGAAATTGGTAATTTGGTCAATTTCACACAAAATTAAAAAATTTCCAATTTAAAAATAGGATCCAGAATAAAGAATGGAGACATTCCTAGCATTAAAAACAAATTTCTGTTCATTAGTTATGTCCCCAGGCCTCTCCTATATTATGCTTGCTTTCCATTTTGAATTTTTATTCACACAAATAGGTTTACTGTTATGCAGACTACTGCATTATTGTAATAATCGTATAAATAATGTCAGCACACATGTGGACATGTATTGGATGAGTGATATAATTTCTGTATTCTGGAATATCAGCAAAAATCAAATGTTTCTGCTACTTCGAGCTCATTTTCAAGTTACTTTCAGTCCTGAAACTAATCAAAATCATCTCTATTTCTGTAGTATATTTTCCATTCTATCAAATGAGACCACTGAGAATACAACCATAAATACCATACAAAAATACATCGCAAAGTCGCTGTTTTAAACCAGAAACACAGATCCGGTTTCTTTTTCTTATTATGTATTGCTTGCTGCATGATTTTTTTTTATATGGGGTACAATTACCACACAGACCCATTCTCTGATATCTTGGCCCAAATTTACCGCTCACAGCTTATCTGAGTGAGCTGAGCTCATGTATAGTACTATGGTACTGATCCAGGCTTCGAAGTCATAGTACAACAGGAACTCCCTACCCAAACCACACCCGAAAGGGTTAAATGTGGACATTGTGAGCACTTTTATTTCCAGGTCTGGACAGTGAAAGGGTTAATGGGTTCTGTTAACCCCTTCACTGTCGAGACCCCTGCTTACAAACTTGCTCTCAGTGTAGAAGAATTTAAAAAAAAAAAAAAAAATTCTTATGAAATGAGAGAATCTTTTTCTGATGGTAATGAAACCATAAGTGTGAAATTTGATGGAAAACTTACGGAATTATGCTCTCATGAAGTTAGCGGTCTCAGCGATATTTACGTACTGGTGATTTCACCCACTTTGAGCTCTATTTTCAGCCAATTCTGTTGTTCCAGTCGACCAAACTCATAACTATTTTTGTTAGAACTCCTTTTTGTTCTATTGAGTACAAGAAATCACCCATTTACCAATTTCAGCTACCCAATAGTGATCAGAAATTGGTAATTTGGCCAATTTCATACACAATGCAAAGACCAATTTCAAAATAGGATCCAGAATTAAAATGCAAACACTCCTAGCACTAAAATAACATTTTCTCTGTTCACTAGTCACATCTCCATACTCCACTTATATAATGCTTGCTTTCCATTTTGAATTTTTATTCACACAAAAAAATAGATTTGTTATGCAAACTACTGCATTATTGTAAAAATGATTAAAATAATATCAGTGCATTTGTGAAAGCATATTAGTCCCACCAGTTGACTGTACTGGACACACATAATTTGCCCACTCTTAAACATGAGCAAAAATCGAACATTTCAGTACTTTGAGCTCAATTTCAAGGTACTTTTAGTCTGTAAACTATTCAAAATCGTCTCTAGTTGTGTAATATATCTTCCATTCTATCAAATGAGACCAAGAAAACGAGAATACAACCATATGAAAATACATCACAAAGTTGCTGTTTTAAACCAAAAACATGGTTGGAGTTTGTTTCTCATTATGCACTGCGTGCTGCAAGATTTTTTTTATACTACGCACATTGACCAATCAGATTCATTCTCTCATATGTAGGCCTACCAGCTTTCTCCTAGAAAACTGAAAGCAGGTATTATGGGACCAACACTGGCTTGAAACCCGTAATATTACTGGACCATCAGTGAAAAGATTAATATCATTGCTACTACATATGTTTACCACAATTTTCCAATTATCCAAGGTAACTTGCACACCAAGCCAAGTCCAATTTCAATAGTAATTACCGAGCCTAGTATCCTCCAGTCTAGTAACTCCGATAAACGTTCAGTACGATTTCTCTGGATAATTCGTTGCCGACGATTTAGCTGTACAAATTCAAATAAGTTTTGGGCTAACTGTCTTACAGATTCCTCTAGACCAATGTAGCGTCGATCAATTATGTAGATGCCATAGCTCATGGGATCAGCTATGTGTTCTGCCATAAAGCAACCAAACCCTGTAAAAAGATATAAAATATGATAATCAAAGACAGTATTTCAGAAGAACAAAAAATATTAAAATGTCAAAGGTCATGGATTTTATAAAGAGTTCTGTAGCTTTAATGAAAATTTAATCAAACAATGTAATCAAATATTTCACTCAAAAAAAGCATTTATAATGGGTTAATGAAGAGTACTAAATTGCCATGGAAAACAGGACTTGAAACCAATATAGTAACTATGCTAATCCTGAGACTTGCTAATATCCAAGATTCAAAGCTAAAAATACGTATATACAGGTCCATGTTGCTTTAACCAAAATTCTGAAATTTAAAAAGTTCCGAAAACCAAAGTTCTCTCGTGAAGTGTGGAGTGCCAGTCATCTCTACATAACTCCAACATCGTCACGTGGCAACATGACCCAGCACTGACAGCCAGAGTGGCAGGCGTCAGTTGTGTCTCAGCACTTGTAGTGTTCACACATGCGTCTGCTGTTTGTTGATATTTCGTTTTTGCTTTTTATTTTGTGACTGTGCTTAATTTCACTGAGAAAATGTGAAAAAGAGCTGCAGATACCCCTATGGGTAACAGTGAGAAAAAGAAAAGGAAGCATCTAATAATAATAATAATAATAACTTTATTTACTACAAGTACATGTAACATGGTATACAGGCCTAGCGGACATTAATGACATAGGGAGCAGCTTGTTATGCTGAGCATTTTGGGCAAATTAGGTCCTTGTCCCAGGATGCGACCCACATCAGTCAACTCCCAGGTACCCATTTTACTGATGGGTGAACATAGACAACCAATGTAAAGAAACACATCCAATGTTTCTACCCGCGCTGGGAAACAAACACAAAAAGTAGAGTTACTGCAGAAGCTTGATCGTGGTATGTCAGTGTGGAGTCTTACTGAAGAATATGGTGTTGAAACTACCACTATTTATAATTTAACCCATTAACTGTCCAAACGTAGATCTACGTTCGCCAGTCTTTGTTCTGATACTAATATTAGGTACTGAAATTGTACTCAAATTGTCACAAACACACTGACAGTTCAACATTTACACCTGCCTTGGTCATTTACTATTGGCTAGGAATATATACAAAGTATTTATAGGTCCCAGCAATGTTTTATATACACTGGAGTATACATGAAACTATCTGAAGTATAGTGTTAAGACGAGTGTTAATAAACTACTGACAGGGTAAGTAGCGGAGTGACACTTGATGATTGTGTGCTGCTGCATGGAACCCTGACTTTTTCTGTGTTCACTGTTACACATAAACATGTCTGTCTGTCTAGCTATGTCTGAATCTGTCTTTCTGTTGCCTGTGTGTCTGTCTTTCTGTCTGCCTGTGTGTGCATCTTTCTGCCTTCCTTTGTGTATGTGTCTTTCTGTCTACCTGTGTATGTCTGTCTTTCTGTCTGTCTGTGTGTGTCTGTCTTTCTGCCTTCCTTTGTGTGTCTGTCTTTCTGTCTGCCTGTGTGTGTCTGTCTTTCTGTCTTTCTGTCTGCCTGTGTGTGTCTGCCTTTCTGTCTGCCTGTATGTGTCTGCCTTTCTGTCTGCCTGTGTGTGTCTGTCTTTCTGCCTGTGTGTGTGTGTGTGTCTGTGTCTGTCTTTCTGTCTGCCTGAGTGTGTCTTTCTGTCTGCCTGAGTGTGTCTTTCTGTCTGCCTGTGTGTGTCTGTCTGCCTGTGTGTCTGTCTGCCTGTGTGTCTGTCTGCCTGTGTGTCTGTCTGTTTTTCTGTCTGCCTGTGTGTGTGTCTGTCTTTCTGTCTGCCTGTGTGTGTGTCTGTCTTTCTGTCTGCCTGTGTGTGTGTCTGTCTGTCTGCCTCCCTGTGTGTCTGTCTTTCTGTCTGCCTGCCTGTGTGTCTGTCTGTCTGTCTTTCTGTCTGCCTGTGTGTGTGTGTGTGTGTGTGTGTGTGTGTGTGTGTGTGTGTGTGTGTGTGTCTGTCTGTCTGTCTTTGTCTTTCCATCTGCCTGTGTGTTTGTCTTTCTGTCTGCCTGTGTGTGTATGTGTCTGTCTTTCTGTCTGCTTGTCTCTCATGTCTCATGAACCAAATGGCATTACATACGATCACGTCCGATTCCTGGACAAGTGAAAATGCGTATTACTTGCCAGTTATGCTTATTATGCATTATATCTACAAACACAGTATAGCACTTTGTCTGGATTTTATGGGTTATTCTAGGTAATTTACACTATGTATAATTGTATTTACGTATGTGTACTTGTGAGATAGAGACAGACAGACAGATGGAGATAGAGACAGCCAATCAGCCAGCCAGCAGGCCAGCTTGCCTGCCAAACACATATTACATGTTCCAGAATTATTTCTTTTTACTTAGGCCATAGATTATAGGACATTCTGGCAGGATGACACTACCAGTGGTACCAAAATTGAAAGGGTGTTACACAAATGTTGCACTTGGGTTATTATCGAGGTTTTTGATATTTCTGCGACTACTTGTGGCCACATCCACCTCAAAGCCACTAAACTCGGAGTCAACATCACTTTCCTCTTAAAAGGGGGAGTGTTAATATGACATGACATCAGTGAATCCTTGGTGTTTGCTGCACTGTTTGTTCTAGCTGGCACTCAATTGATCTGGTGTTCCCACAAGGTGCTAAGTGGTCCCAGATTCTTTTAATACTGCGCACATCGAGTGTTAAGACCCATTCTATGCTGACCAAGCATCTCAGGCCAATTGTGCCAAATTGGAGGCAGGAAAATAAAACGTAAATCTATGTTTGGAGAGGTAGCGTTAAGAATGTAGATCTACGTTTGGACAGTTAACAGGTTAAAGAAACAGAAAGACAAGTTACTGTGACAGTGATGACCAAAAACTAATGAAAAATAGGAAAACACTGCATAGGGCAAAAAACGAAGGTCATGACTGTGCTAATGGAGTGGATTTGACAGCAAAGAAGTGAACGTATGCCACTGACTGGTTTGTTGGTCACAAAACAAGCTAGAATATACCATGAAGAATTGAACACTGAAGGCGAGTGTCATATTCAGATGGTTGGCTGCAGAAATTTAAGAAGTGTAATGGTGTAAAATATCTGAAAATCTGTGGTGAAAAAGCTTCCGCTGACCATGAAGCAGCTGAAAACTACATTGACAAATTTGCCAAGACAATATCTGATGAAAACCTTAGTCCTGAACAAATTTACAGTGCTGAAGAAACAGCTCTCTACTGGCACTATGCTCCTAGAAAAATATTAACAATGGCTGAAGAGAAAGTACCAACAGGTACTTTCTCTTCAGGGTCAGCAGGGTCTCTTCTTTATTTATTTATTTATTTATTTATTTATTTATTTAAAAATTTGTGCACACATACAGAGGTACAAAAAATACAGAAAAGAGCAGTATGCCAAAGCCACTTATACTATGCATAGCATTACGGGCTGGCTTAAAATTAACTTAAGATGAACTAAGCAATGATGACATCGGTGATAAAACTTTAATGTAAACAGATTACTATAAAGCACAAGTGAGTATTACAAAGACAGGTCATATGGTTGTATGCATTGTTGTACATTCAGTAGAATGGAGTATTCTGTTAGGTAGTGTATTTAAAAAATAATAAAGTTAGATTGGGTTTTAGGTTTAACATTTATGTGATATAATTGTGAGAAACATTTAAGATATACAATTTATAAGGTTCAGTTATTCAGTATTTATTTGGTTTTGGGTGAGTAAGTGATCTTTGAGAAGAGACTTGAATTTATAAACAGGTAGTGTTTCTTTTATATTTACAGGTAATGAGTTCCAGATTTTAGGGCCTTTTATGTGCATTGAGTTTTTGCATAGTGTGAGATGGACACGAGGAACATCAAAGAGTGATCTGTGCCTTGTGTTATGGTCATGTGTTCTGTTGAGGTTGGCAAGGAGATGTTTGAGGGGAGGGTTAATATCAGAGTTAAGTGTTCTATGTATGTAATAGGTGCAGTAATAAGTATGAATGTTTTGTATGGTGAATAGGTTTAGTGTATTGAATATTGGTGGAGTGTGCTGCCTATAGTGAGAATTTGTTATCATTCTAACTGCAGCCTTTTGTTGGGTAATTAGTGGTCTGAGATGGTTACTTGTTGAGCCCCATGCACAAATTCCATAGGTGAGATAGGGGTAAATAAGAGAGTGATATAGGGCCAGGAGGGCTGACTGTGGAGCATAGTACCGTATCTTCGATAGTATGCCTACAGTCTTGGAAATTTTCTTAGAAATTTGTTGTATATGTGTATGAAATTTGAGTCTATTATCAAGGTGGATTCCTAAGAATTTTCCCTCTGTTAGCTTTGTGATAGGTGATCCGTTTATCATTATGTTAAGAGGGACATCTGTAGCTCTGTTACCAAACTGAATGAAGTAGGTTTTGTCAATGTTTAGTGTAAGTTTGTTAGTCCTCATCCAGGTAGATATTTTCTGTAATTCTGTATTTACAGTATTTTCTAGCGTGACTGGGCTTGGGTGGGAGAAGACGTATGTTCTCAGGGTCAGAAATTTTTCGGAAAAAGAAAAAATTATTTTTTCTTATGAAATGATAGAGAATCTTTTCCTGATCATAATGACACCAAAAGTATGAAATTTGATGGAAAACTTACGAAGTTATGCTCTCGCGAAGTTAGCGGTCTCGACGATGTTTACGTATCAGCGATTTCGCCCACTCTGAGTCCTATTTTCAGCCAATTCCAATGTACCAGTCGACAAAAATCGTACCTATTTTGCCAGAACTCCATTTTTTCTATCGAATGACTACAAGAAACCACCCATTTACCGATTTCCATTATCCAATAACGTGGTCAGAAATTGGCAATTTTGCCAATTTCACACAAATTTCAAAAGATGCCAATTTCCAAATAGGGTCCAGAATAAACAAGACAGACATTTCTGGCACTAAAACAACATTTCCTCTGCTCATTACTCATGTCCCCAAGCCTCTGTTAATTTCTTTGGCTTTCCACTTTGAATTTTTATTCTCACAAAAAATAGAAGATTTATGTTATGCAGACTACTGCATTCATGTAGAAATGGCGTAGAAATGGTATAAATAATATCAGGGCACTTGTGAAAGAATATTACACTCACCAGTATTGGACGCATGGCATGATTTGTTTATCTTTGAACTTTGGCAAAAATCGAACATTTCTGCTACTTTGAGCTCAATTTCAAGGTACTTTTCATTGTGAAACCAATCAAAATCATCTCAGTTTCCATAATATGTGTTCCATTCTATAAAATGAGACCAGGAAAACTAGAATACAACCATAAATAGCATACAAAAATACACTGCAAAGTCACTGTTTTAAACCAAAAATAGTCAGTTTTTTTTTCTCATTATGCACTGTGTGCTGCAGGATTTTTTTTATACTGCGCACACTGACCACATAGACCCATTCTTTCATATGCAGGCCTACTAGCTTTCTCTCACTAGATCTGAAGGTGCTAGAATTTATGCATACTAGTACAGCACCAACCCTGGCGTGCAAGCCGTACTAGTACAGCACCAACCCTGAAAGGGTTAAGGATGCTAAGGACAGGTTAAATATTCTTGGGTGTGCCAATGCTGCAGGCACACACAAGGTGAAGTTGGCGGTGATTGGAAAAAGCAAACATCCGAGATGTTTGAAAGGTGTATGCAATGTACCTGAGCATTATTATGCCAACAAGAAAGCATTGGTAACCCAAGATATGTTTTCTGACTGGTTCAATAACCACTTCATACCAGCTGCATGAGATCATTGCTGGCAAGCTGGACTAGAAGAAAACTGTAAAATTTTATTGTTCCAGGATAATTGCTCTGCACATCCCCCTGCCAAACTTCTTGTGAAAAGTAATGTTCTCGGCATTTACTTGCCCCCCTAATGTGACATCTGTATTACAGCCTTTTGACCAAGAAATTTTATGCTCCATGAACACTAAAGACCATTTTTTAAACTGTATGCTTGCTGCAGTCAACAGAGGAGTAAGAATCCAAGACTTCCTGAGAGAGTTCAGTGTTAAGGATGCCATTTATGCAGTTGTTAATGCTTGGAAGGATGTTGATAAATCAACATTAACAAATGCTTGGCACAGACTCTGGCCTAAAACAATGTCTGATGTAAGTGAACCTACTCCAGGTTATGCAATACCAATGAAGACTTTTGTGTCACTGATGAGATGATATCAAACCTCATAACTTAAGCTAAAAGTTTATAAGACGAAAGTGTAAATAAGTAACAGGAAGCTGACATTGAAGAAATGCTGAACATTGACAATGATGCACCTGTTATGCATTCCTTGAGTGATGGTGAAATTGCTGGAATGGTGTTAAATACGAATAAGCATGAGAATAGTAGTGGTGATGATGATGATGATGATTATGACATTGTGAACACAGGTGAAAAAGTTCCCATTGACAACATGGTGAAAATGTGTGATCAGTTAATTGCTGGCCTTGAACAATGTGCATTTACCAGTGAGCAAGAGATTATGGCAATTTACTCAGTTAAAGAGAGATTGCTTAGACAGAAACCTATGTTAATAAGACAGATGACATTTGAAGAAGTCTTTAAAAATGCCATCTGTCAATCATCTTGAGAATCATGTTCCTGGTCTATAATTATCCCATTATTTCATTTATCAATATATTACTCTATAAATAAACCGTAGTAGTATTGGGTCCAAACATATATGTATGTTCTTACCGCTAGTGCCCCAAACTTATATTTACATTTTATTTTTCCTACCTCCAAATTTGGCATATTGGCCTGAGATGCCTGGTCAGCATAGAAGGTGTCTTAACACTCGGTGCGCACTGTATTAAAAAAATCTGGGACCACTTAGTACCTAGTGGGAGTACCAGTTAAATCGAGCACCAGCTAGAGAAAACAGCGAGGCAAACACCAAAGATTCACCGATGTTATGTTATACTAACACTCCACTTTTAAGAGGAAAGTGATGTTGCCCCCAAGTTTAGTGGCTTTGAGGTGGATGTGGCCACAAGTGGTCGAGGAAATATCATAAACCTCAATAATAATCCATGTGCAACATTTGTGCAACACCCTTTCAGAATGTCTTATATCCTATGCCCTAAGTAAAGAGAAACAATTCTGAAGGTGTCTATCTCTGTCTGTCTTTATCTCTCTCTTTCTGTCTGTATCTCTTTCTATCTCTGTCTCACAGGTAAACAAATACAATTATACATAGTATAAATTACAGTAGGGCCCCGCTTTACGGCGTTCTGCTAATATGGTCATTTCAAATTATGACCAAAACTCGCTATACGGCTCCACCCACCTGACTTTCTAATATGGTCACCGCGCCCCACCCGGTTTGTTTACATTCTCTGGGAGATCCATAAGCCCTAAGTCTCTCCATTTTGTCTGGAAACTTCAAAATTTCAAGTGTTTTTAAAAGTTATTTCATATTTTATATATGCTCTGATAATTATACTTATGTATACCTGTACCTAAATAAACTTACACACTGTGCTGGCATGCAGGTACACATTAAAATTAGGTCTCCAGACATCATATTAGTAATGATAATAATAATAATCACCGAGTCTCATTTAAATGTCGTATATTACGTTAATATACACATTTTCATTAATCCATGATATTTATTTCAAAATTATATAATAAACATGATACATAACATATAAAGATGATAAATACACCCCACAATAGAATAAATAAACATAAATATGAGATGTGGTAGCCAGATAGCTTGTACAAGTGATGGCAAAAATAACATTTTCTCTAATCTAACGTAAGAGAAAATGTGTTACTGGGGGTAACTGTAGAAAATTATTCCTTTCGTATGTATGTATGTCAGGTATACACAAATACAGTTACATAGATTATCATACATAACAGCATACGTGTAGAGAACCTAGGATAACCCAAAAAAGTCAGACAGACTTATTTCCATTGCCTTCACTCAGAGCGTCATATCTTCTCAAAATGATGTTACATGAGAAAGAGTGTTCTTCTTTATTTATTCTACCGTATCAATGTAGAGACAACTTGTACACAATGTAACT